CCCACCAAGTGGGTGGGGAAATGGATACAGACTGGCCAATTTGATACTGTCTTACCCCCACCAAAAGATCTGCTTGGAGATTAGTATCTACCAATTCCGGAGAAACTCAGGCCTTCACCAAATGGGCCCCCAAATAAGTCTTGACGGTTGTGAAATATCGACATCTGTTATTTTTCGCCGCTGGATATAAACACTTGCTTGTCCTTGACACTGATATTGTTTTTGATAACTATCGCTACATTTCTTTGTGCCGATTTAGTTCGATAATTTTACTTTTCGGTGCTAGGACTTCGCCGCCCCGTCTAATTTCCTCGTAATTCTGAGCAGTCCGAGCGCTATACAAAAGCGTTATGTCACTCGATGCTACCTGAAGGGCGGAAACTCGGTGAAGGTCGCCCCTCGGGTGGCCTTCCCAACGGAGGGTCTGTAATTCCTCAAACTAGCCGCAAAAAAGGGGTCAATGACCTCATATCTACGCTGATTTTCCCATAGAGCCTGGTGTGGTCCACGTGATAGACAGCTAATTTAAATTAGCGTTCGCGTGTAGGACTGGGAGTCGTTAGGTTACGCCATGGACAATCTCCACAGAGCCTCTTAACGAGTTGCAATGACTAACATAATAATCATAAGTGGGCAGAATACGATATTTTTTGTCAAAACACAGCAAAATTAAATACTTGTAGTTTCGGTGCACATGTCAAGTTGAGCCGTGTCTTTTACTTGTGGTGAAATTGAAGCTGTCAACTTGGTAAGAACAATAAATAAATAAATAAAAGATAACGTTTTCACATAGCTAATCTAGAATCTCAGATCTAGATTTTTCCCTGGAACATCTTTTCGGCTCTACAGGACGATAAATGGAAGAAGATTTTTGAGATCTTGTTACATATTTTGCGTGTGCTTGTAGGCCAATGAGTTACTAGTAGATAAAGGCCGGGCTTCATAACTTTTAATTTTCATGTATATGCGCTGTCGTCCGATCCAGTGGTGTAGTTCTTGTGCTGTGCATGTGCTTTTCTCGCGCCCCATCCAGCGGATAAGTAGCAAAGTACACCACTAACGGTTATCAGCTACAGTTCCAGCGTTTCAACTGTGTTCTGTGCAGTTCTGTTCTAAATCTACCCCTCTTCTGGAATTTTTTTTTTTAATTGGCGCATTCGGGAAAATAGACCCGCTTGGCATTGCATTTATATACAAGTACAATGTAACATAGACATTAGACATATATGGTTACGCGAAATTTTTTTTTTCTGGTTAAAGTTGTGAATTTCCTCTTTATGCTTCTCCTTCTAACAAATTTCTCACTGTCAGGGTCCTGAACAAATTTCCATTCTTCCTGCACTTGGTCAGCAGATATGTATATAACGTTACAGTGCACCTATGATGTCAGCCACAAGATTACGTTATAGTATTGTCCAAGCAAGTTCAGGATTGCTCTGTACTTATGATAGGTATTGCAAGGTGGCGCTGATGGTCCATGGAAGAGATAGGCTGAATGGATGGCGATGAAGCTCGAGTTTGTCAAGGAGACAAATTTTGAACAAGGCCATATTTGTAGTTTTTATTGCAGCAGTTACTGTAATGTGACCTGATGTAGCATAATGGTACTGTCATACACAAGGTAGGGAATACCTTGCATTTGACATATCAATGAAAATTGTGCCTAAAGTAAGTCATTATCCTCACAACAATACTCCAGAAAATAGGCACACAATATATGTTAATGCAACATGTATGCACTCTTGCATATCTAAAGTGTGCATACTTTGGGTTGCATCAGAGATCTCTTTGAATACAATGTTTTTTTTTTTAAGTGAGGCCATGTTGATTTGATTAATATATATGGATGACATCCTCCGGGAGCCCCAAAACTGATGCGCGCGTGCGAATAAAAAAAAAAGTTTTGCAAAAAAAAAAAGTTCTTTTCATTATGAAATCTACGTGGTCATGAGGGTTGAGCAAATGGCACAGAATATGGTTTGGCGAATAATCTAGTCTTCAAGTTCATTTCTTTACAATTTCGTCTTTTTTCGTTTGATTTTGGCATTCTACGACATTGGTATAGTTTTTATTAATTTTTTTTGTAACTTATGGTATATTTTTGCTCATTTTGCAACTGTTTTGTACAATTTACAGTATGGTTGAAAACTTTTTTTTTTTTGTGGAAAAAATTCATGCGCGCACGGATGTCATCCATAAAATCAAATCAACATGGCCTGACGAATAAAGTCACTTGATGGATAAAGGTGGTTAATCTCGGAAAGTTACAAAGTTGCGGCAGCTGAAACTCAGAGATCTCAATATGCAGCGGTACTCAGTCCATTTCCCAGCAAGCTCTCCACTGAGTAATGGCTGAACACTTCTTCTCAGTGTCAGTACTGTCTGCTGATCTAGAAGTATTGCTGCTGTCTCTGAAGATTTATAGCGATCACGTCCTCTCATTAGTTTGTCTTGGCCCTTGATCTGACACTTAAAATTTCTTCTAAAAGCCATCTCCAGCTTGAGTTTAGGTCTCAGAAGCAGCAGGAGTTTATCCTTACCGATTACCTGCACTCTAAGTCTTATCACACCACTTTGGCTTGTCACAAGGAGAAGCTAACTTGCTACCAAGGGACTCTGCTTCAGCCTCTATATGTATTAAAGCACAGCTTGGATACATCTGTTATTGCCAAGTCAAAATGATGACAGAGTACTTCTCCAGTTTGATCAGTGAGGTGTCCAATAAGGCTTCTGAAATTAACATGAACCCTGAGAGGATTGATGTGGCGGTTTCTGAGCTGCATGTTTGAAGGAGACTTCAGTGCATGCACTAAACAGAAGATACGACTTGTGATACTAGCAGAGCTACAGCATGTTCAGCACAGTTCACGGAGCGGAAAAAAGGATCAGCACATGTACAGTATCTGGGGATGGCTGAGGTGTATGGAGTAAACCTGCTGGCTTGTTGCCATTTAGAAAACTGGGGTAGATGAGATTGGAAATGGATAATATGCTTCTTCAAATTGCATCTTTTCAGGAAAAGCTGTACATGAGTACTATTACATACAGTCACTTAATTCAGACCCCATGAGAAACGGTCCTTTGAGTTCCCATGTCTATTACCTTAATCAAAATGCACTTGACTCCATTGTTCAATGGGGGGAGACCTACTCTCTCGGCGTGAACGGGAAAAAGACAATGGACATGGTTATAAGCGCAAGAAAGGAGGCAAACATTCCTGTCCCTCCCCATCCAACTATATCCGGTCACGTGATCCAGAGGACTACGTCTTTCAAACTCCTTGGAGTTTACATCACTGCTAATCTTACCTGGGACACTCACGTTCACTACATGCTGGCAAAATCTCGACCACGTGTATATTACCTTACTGCTGCTAAGAAGGCCGGGCTCCCTACTGATGCGTTAATTCAGATCTACCTGACATTTATTCGCCCTCTGTTGGAGTATGCCAGCCCTGTGTGGGGAGGACTCCCAAAATACCTTGCCAACATGCTGGAATCTGTCCAGAAACGTTGTTTGAGAATCATTGGAGTTCCTACTGACTCTCTGCCCTCGCTGTCAAGTAGACGCGACGCTGCTACATTGAGAACATTACGCAACACAATCCGGGACAGTAGCTCGCCTCTGAATGAGTTCATCACCCCACCCCAGGATAACTGTTACAACCTCCGTCGTGAAGGTCGTTACAAGCCAATGACTAACAGTAAACCAAGAGACATGAACTTTCCTTTATACCCAGATCTCTGAAACTACTGTATCAGGCTGACTGCTAACACGACCATGATTTACTGTATTGCTTAACTGTGTTTAACTGCTCAGTTTGTGAGCGCGTCGTAGCTGTTAGGTATAAGCGAGTTGGACATGGTTCTACATCTTTTATCTGTGCATAACATTTTAAATACGTAATTTTATAGTAACTTTAAATGTTTTTCTGGTGATTTTACAATTGTAAATGATGACGCACTTCATGTGCATGTGAATTGTCACGTACATGCAAAGTCATTATCAATAAATCTGAATCTGAATCTAATCAGTGCATGCAAGCTTGTACAGTATACAGACATATTTGTTATGAGCTAGAAAAACATTGGGTGGAAAAATTGCCATGTTCAACAAATTGTTCTGTAGGCACCTTATCATTAGGTGAAAATTGCTATGATGTGCGTAAATTAATGAGAGCAATTGGGCACATTTAAGTAATGGATGAAGAAAAGTATGGAAGATTGATACTGAGGCATGCCTTGATTATGGTAGCTAAATCATTTTAAAATAGTGTGTAATATAACTAGGCTTTAAATCATAGGGCTGCTGGGTCCATGTGGATTTTGCCTTTTATTATAAATAATGAAGTTTCTGTAATGTTGTGTGAGCACAGCTTAGCGTATGATTTTTTGCAAATTTATAAAAAGGTTAATATCTTGTGTTCAACAGCTCTGAGAAGATTAGATGGTTGTGAACATCAAACAGGCTGAGCAGCTGGAGAATACATGGAGGCTGGGTATGAATGGTGCAATAATTGTATGAACCTCGGTCAATCTATGTGTGTTGAATTTAATTTCTTTTCAATGAAAACCTGAGCTGAGCCATCCTGACAACCAATGGTTCTGTTGCTTGACATTGAAATATCTTTTTTTACAAGAGGATAGGGTTATTGCTAGTGATTTCAGGCCTATATCATTCTATACCCCTAGTACAGAAGACATTGAATTGCACAAAGGTACTAGTAGGTTGCAATCCCGAACATGTCCCCAAATAAGGTGAATGACTTCCAATGAATTACTCTAGCCTTTGGATGTTGCATTTCCATCTGGCATGTATGCCATTTCAGCAACATGAGATATCAAAGCCAGGAGGTTGAAGTCTTATTAGTACCGCATGAGGTTGGCTTGATCAAAGAGTGACATTTTTCTAGAAGTAGTAATCTGCAGCACGCATCAGTTTGAGCCTTGAACCCTCTACATCACGCTCTAGGACACGGAGTGGTCCTTCATCTGTGTCACTGCACATTACATACCAACAGTTACGATTCTTTCATGCAGAAAAGTCAAGTCTAAGAACTGAATCCCACTGTGTGCTGAGTCCTGAGGCAATGGTAATTCCAATGGGGGGGACCCTGGCCTGATTCCTAACTGCTCTGTCCTATTAAGGAGCAGACCAGGATTGATCCCAGTGGTATCTGTGTGTGCTATTATTATAGCTATTTACAGACTTGTTCATGACTGCCCACTTGAGTAACGTTAAAGTCTGAACTTTCCTTCCACACGACCCTTCATGGTAGCCCTGAAGTGCAAGTACTAAAGCCAAATGGGTGGTAGCATTACTATAATTGCAAATCCAAGCTCATGTGTAAGATGCCCTCTGGGTTATTTGATGGCAGGAACAAGACAATCCAAGCTATCCATTATCCAGGTAGATTCTTTTGTAGAACATTGAGCATTGGTACAAGATGGCCTCCATCTCAGGACAGTTGTCGCTGGGGAGTTTTAATGGGTTTTGTTTAGTGCAGCAGAGCACCTTGTCCAATTTGGAAACCTTGGGTACTATAAACTTTCCTATCTCTTTCTCTCTGGCAGTTCAGTCTTACAAGACTATGTCTGCACCTCTGGAGTGTGACTTAAGATACAACTCTCCTATACATCATACACAAAGCTGCCTCTTTTCAAAGGTGGTTTACACACTACTTTTGTATTTAGACAAAAACTCATCTGCATCATTCTTCATTCATTCATTCATTCAATGGAAACATGACACAATCATCAGAAAAAAGACACAACAAAACAGTTTTGTGTAGCTTTCATCTTCTTCTATGCTTGCTGTATACGATTCCCTTGCACTGTCAGTGATTTCTGTTCATTGGGTGCTATGTTGATGGTACATTATGTACACCATAAGCTAGACTGTTCAAATCATGATCCCGTCCACCAAAGAGTTAAACTGTCACTTATCATGATAATAACAACACATGAATTTGTTCTGGACAACAGAAAGACACAAAAGCATGTCTTCCACTATAGCATTGGTTTGCTATTAAAAAAAAAACATGTAACGTTACAGGTAACATTCAATTCTACCTTAAATAGCCAGTATCTTTGATACAAGCAAAGTCATAACATTTTACAAACAAGTAAAGCTCAGTCACTGATATAGAAAACTACTGTCGAGCTTGAGTGGCATGTTGTTCAACTTCAGTCACTTCAGTTGGAATTTCCATCTTGGTAGGACAACTACCAACACAGAGCAAAATGCCACCAAAGCCAAAAAGACCAAACTGATGAGTTATCATGTTATCAACAATAATCAATTTCACAAAAGCGATGCCCTCTCAATACAAGACAATACAAATTTGTGACACTTCAATACAGAACATCCAGCAGAAAATCAAGTTCAC